TTTCGTTGCTGGAGAAGCTCTTGGTGATTCTTTTGCAACTGATGATGGTTTGTCAACCTGCAAACAGAGAATGACAGTCAATAACATTTTCTTACGTGACTGGAATTAACAGTCGTCAAGTTACTGTAAACTGCTTTAATTTATCGAGACATATGTTTTCATGAATCGGTGCAAATTGTGCATTTGTGTCCATCAACATGAAGTGTTCGTAACTTCTGTGAAATTTTGACTTAAAAAATGCCATGAAATCTTCAAATCATGTAAATACAGCAGTTTACTGGATACCACTGACATGACACTGTTAGAGCATGGAAATAAAACAGGGCATCTGACTATCTTAATTATCACTGTCAGTACCAGTATGAATTATTGTAAGGAAACGACGATATTGTACAAAGTGTCAAATCATGTTTGTTACTTTATCATGTAGCAAACATTTAAAGCCGAACTCTCTCGATTGTTATTGTTTAGTATGAAAATATGCTTTCAAGTTTATTGGCTAACTCTAGATATTTTGCTGCCGCCAAGGTGTTGATCAAAGAGGACCTATCAAATTATATAAGAAGTTTATAATTTGCCATTAAATGAAGTTAAAAAAAAATCAGTCATGAGCTACCGGACTAGACATTTTGTACCGTTGTATCCTTTAACAGATTGTAATTGTGTTTTGAATGATATTGATTTGTACCAATCACATACTGGTTTGACAGCTATCATAGTCAAGTATTAGAAACCATGCAAAAATGAGTAGAATAAACAAAGCATACTTTATTTAATATTTAGAGGTTAGTGTTTGGTAATATGTTAAAATAAATCTAAAGCAAAGATAATTGCATTATATCAAAGATGATAGTGTCATCATCCAAAGCAAACATGATTACAATGTGTCAGACTTGTGTAAAGCCATCAGTAGTATCAATTACACATGTCTTTGTTATGTATACACAATAATTTAAACTCTATAAATAGTCACAATTTCATTTCAGATGGGATACTTAACATTTTATATTGGTTTGTCAGATATATAATATTAAAAAACAAAATTCTTTAGTTAATTCAAGATCAAGAATGAATATCAGTAAGATAAAAATTTACATTTTTACGTTCACAAAGAGATTTAGACATTACATGTATAATAACAGATGCTTTTAAACTAATATTATCTATAAATACGCTTTTTTATAACCCATGCAAAATTTATTTTATAAATTAATACTTTTTGCTTTCAACCAGTATAAAATTATTTACAATGATGCAAGTTATTGTTCTAATAATTATTGACACATATACAATGGATAAACCTAGGCAAAACAACAATATTCAGAAAAGGTAAAAATCTCTAATGTAATATTTCACAAAATACATAATGAGTTTCCCACATGCTTGTGCTGCTGGCAATTTAAGGTATCAATAGGGGTAAAACTACTTGAAAATTAATCTGTGATACAGACATCTTCTTAAAGAATTAGGATTATTATAGACCAATTGGCCACCTGATTCAGTGCTGCAAATATAATCAAATATAACCTATACATCATCTGAAAGCTTAGATATAGGTGAATACAATAGTGTATATGCTGTACCAATGTTTGTCAAAGGTCAAATAAAGATGGTTTTACACTTTGCAAGGTTTCCGGCTTAATGTTTATTTTGGAGTGTTGTTTTTTGTGATTTATTTCATGTACAAGAAACTTGTCTCAATATTTTTCTCTATGTTTTAGTTTTCCAATTACAACCTGTTAATATTGTCCAACAGATTGTTGGTATCATGTCTGTAGTTATTTTGTGGTAGCTAAAAAACAAAGGCAGATAATGAAAAAACAAGGTATAGTTCTTCCAGTCATCAGTGTTTTGAATTTCCAATCTAAATCTAGTTCACAATATCAATACTGAAAATGTGAAAAACAGTCATAGCTATATTCAAAATAGTTAAAAACAACAACAGCAAAATTGACCATCAGGTAACCACTCATACAAACATTGGTACGGTATATGCACTACTGTATCACCAATATCTAACATACTTTTTAGTAACTTTTTTTAAAATGTCGCAAGCACAGATTAATTTTCAACTCTCTTTCCCTATGTTACTACCTTAACCCATATGCTGACAGATTACAAAAAGAACCTTACATACTAACATATATCTTTATAATCTACTAAACATGCAGTAATGTTATTCACATGCTAGTGTTGCAGACTAAAACAAAAATACTCAAATAAAATAACTGGTTGTAGGTATCAGGGGATGACTAGAAGTCTATTGTTTGCACATATACAATAATACTTATTATGTTAATCGACAGCCACTGTTAATTATGCTAATTATAATCAGGTTATTGAGTGCATATAGCAGTATGCATCAGATTACTTACAACTACAGAGTAAAAGGCAGAACACTATTCTAGTGTGACTCTTGGCTGGATCCCTCCTATGATTACATCAGAAGGAATGGAAAACAGATAGCAAGTTAGAAAGTGAGTTATGTCCAGAAAGTGAGTGACTTTTTAGTATTGGACTACATGGTGTACAGCACAGGGAGTGCATGGGTAGGATCTTAATGACCCCAGGGCAATGTTTAGTGTGACTCTCTGACCCCAGGACAATGTTTAGTGTGACTCTCTCACTTAATGACTCTGGGGAAATGTTTACTTACTCTCTGACCCCAGGGCAATGTTTAGTAAGACTCTCTCACTTAATGACTCTGGGGAAATGTTTACTTACTCTCTGACCCCAGGGCAATGTTTAGTGTGACTCTCACTTAATGACTCTGGGGAAATGTTTACTTACTCTCTGACCCCAGGACAATGTTTAGTGTGACTCTCTCACTTAATGACTCTGGGGAAATGTTTACTGTGACTCTGACCCCAGGGGAATGTTTACTGAAACTTTCTATCTTAATGACCCCAGGGAAATGTTTACTGCAACTTTCTATCTTAATGACCCCAGGGAAATGTTTACTGCAACTTTCTATCTTAATGACCCCAGGGAAATGTTTACTGCAACTTTCTATCTTAATGACCCCAGGGAAATGTTTACTGCAACTTTCTATCTTAATGACCCCAGGGAAATGTTTACTGAAACTTTCTGTGTTAATGACCCCAGGGAAATGTTTACTGCAACTTTCTATCTTAATGACCCCAGGGAAATGTTTACTGAAACTTTCTATCTTAATGACCCCAGGGAAATGTTTACTGAAACTTTCTATCTTAATGACCCCAGGGAAATGTTTACTGCAACTTTCTATCTTAATGACCCCAGGGAAATGTTTACTGAAACTTTCTATCTTAATGACCCCAGGGAAATGTTTACTGAAACTTTCTATCTTAATGACCCCAGGGAAATGTTTACTGAAACTTTCTATCTTAATGACCCCAGGGAAATGTTTACTACAACTTTCTATCTTAATGACCCCAGGGAAATGTTTACTGAAACTTTCTATCTTAATGACCCCAGGGAAATGTTTACTGAAACTTTCTATCTTAATGACCCCAGGGAAATGTTTACTACAACTTTCTGTGTTAATGACCCCTGGGGAATGTTTACTGTGACTTTCTGTCTTAATGACCCCAGGGAAATGTTTACTGCAACTTTCTATCTTAATGACCCCAGAGAAATGTTTACTGAAACTTTCTAACTTAATGACCCCAGGGAAATGTTTACTGCGACTTTCTATCTTAATGACCCCAGGGAAATGTTTACTGCAACTTTCTATCTTAATGACCCCAGAGAAATGTTTACTGAAACTTTCTAACTTAATGACCCCAGGGAAATGTTTACTGCGACTTTCTATCTTAATGACCCCAGGGAAATGTTTACTGCAACTTTCTGTGTTAATGACCCCAGGGAAATGTTTACTGCAACTTTCTATCTTAATGACCCCAGGGAAATGTTTACTGCAACTTTCTGTGTTAATGACCCCTGGGGAATGTTTACTGCGACTTTCTGTCTTAATGACCCCAGGGAAATGTTTACTGAAACTTTCTATCTTAATGACCCCAGGGAAATGTTTACTGAAACTTTCTATCTTAATGACCCCCAGGGAAATGTTTACTGAAACTTTCTATCTTAATGACCCCAGGGGAATGTTTACTGCGACTTTCTATCTTAATGACCCCAGGGAAATGTTTACTGAAACTTTCTATCTTAATGACCCCAGGGGAATGTTTACTGCGACTTTCTATCTTAATGACCCCAGGGAAATGTTTACTGAAACTTTCTATCTTAATGACCCCAGGGAAATGTTTACTGCGACTTTCTATCTTAATGACCCCAGGGAAATGTTTACTGCAACTTTCTGTGTTAATGACCCCAGGGAAATGTTTACTGCAACTTTCTATCTTAATGACCCCAGGAATGTTTACTG